TGTCATTATTGTCGACTGGGAAGCGTGATGTTTTGAGTACCCTCACTGATACTGTATTCCCTGCGCAGCCCTGGCGCCCCGTGGAACGGGTCCCCGCTGCAGCGCCCCCCAGCCGCCGGGCCCCCTCGACTCCAAGAACAACAAGATGACGAACCTGAACCGCATCAGAGTCGTCGTCCTAGGCAGTGCCCGCGTCGGCAAGTCCGGTGAGTGACTACAGACTACAGTAGCAGGGATGGTGGGTCATCAGCAGGTCGAGTGCCAAGACTGCAAAGATCACGTTTAGACGTTCATTCTTTGACAGAGCACAGGAAACCCTCGTCCAACGCGGGGAATACTTTCGTCGAAAGCGGCGAGTTCTTTGAATCCGCGTTGGACGAGATCTGCTGTAGCAAATTGGTCCTTAGTTCATAATCTCGAAGTGTTTCGGTTTTATCCTCTTCATTTCTAGTCGTGAATACAGCATTCTATTAATAGATACACTCTGCATGTTTTTGTGGCTGTCTGTCAGTGAGTGAGTGTGCCATAGACATTTATCGGATTCGTCTGATTTTAAAACCCATATTTCATTGACGATGTTCCTGCACTCACGTTTGAGAGCTGGATTTATTACGGAAAAATAAAATACCTTTGAATACAGGTTACATCATTCCTTATAGGGGGACATTTATTTTATTTATGCTTCACGTCTTTTGAGGAACGGCGACTTTATTTGTAATAAACTCCAACCAAGGGTAAATTTACAGCGTTTGCATCTGTTGTGTTTGCAACATTCTGTCAGTACGGTTACGGGGATTGGACAAGGATAGCCCACTCCTTTCAGTCATTAGCTATATCAGACCAGGCTCTGACAAACGGCAGGGACTGGAAATTTGTCCTTCAAATAAGGATCGGCTCTGAGTCCTACTTGTTAGCCTTCAGTCCAGTGGTTGACCAGGAACTCCTTTCCTGAGTGAGAAGCAGCTGTGTTTCGAAGACGATAACTTCCCTCCGTTCGGGCTGGAGGTGATACATACAGAGTTATGTTTTGGGGGCGCATCCACACCATCTTGATTTCCCGTTCAGCATTGAATTATCTGCATTTGGATACAAGAATGCGTGTTTGGCTGCCACATCCCGCAACCCTGTCAAAAACGCACGCCTGTGGGTACTCCCAAGAAATCGAGCTGAATGATTTCGTGGAAGAAGCACATTATTACAGACGAATCGTTTGTCTTTTCCCCCGCTGATCATCTGTCTGATCAATAGGTAGACATTCGCATTCCTCATGTGCACAGTGAAAGAATTACTCGTGGAACAGCAAAAAACGTGGAATGTGGTTGGACGTGGCATTTGTCGTTTGGTACCTTCATTCTAAAATGCAGCGAATCTCGGCATTTGTCAGTCCCGTGGAACTATCTTGTTTAAATTAAAGTCCCTTGTCCAGAAGTATTAGAACAAATCAGTTTTTCCATCCGCTGTCGGTAAAGATAAAAGGAAAGCCACAAACACTTGTTTCTAACAATATTAAGCCCCCGTCCACACCTAAATAACATAATGAAAACACTGTTACAAAGCCATTATGAACTCATCCACAGCGGCTGACATCGTGAAACAAGCTGAACTGTTTCAAACTTTCAATTTCCATCTGGAAGCTCATATTTTCAACATCTGTCATACCACCGTCGATAAAGTTTGTAACAATGTTTTCTGCGGTGTTTTTGTTGGCTTGGACGTTTTTCCGTCCCTAAAATGGATGCTTCAGGGTCACAACACAAGCAGCGGAGCCCAGACGAGCGAAGACGGCTCAAAACGCGCAGCGTAGCAAAACAACGCTCTACTTGTGTAGATAAGGCTCCATGCATACTTCAGCTCGATGCTAGATGCAATTGACCGATCAGAGTCACGGTACGGTTGTTATGTTCCCGAGCAAATGCGTCTCGGAACCTTTTGTTTTTAAGGCTTGATGGATCTCTTTTTCCACGCTGGTAATTAACAGAAAACTGCTGACGCTGTAACCAGGAACTGAACCCTGGCTGTCCAGTCATATCTCTGACAGGTTTTGCAGATATTGGCTAGACAGTCCTGGTGTTCAGTGGTGGCATGGAACGCAGGCGCAGAGAAGCGACCCAAGGCTTTGTAATTTCCAACATTGCGAGTAGTCAGTCAATCTTATCCTGAGCCGGTCGCTCGACTGGCGCCACGTTGTGGCTGCTGTTTCATATGTGGAGCAGGGTCACTAGCAGAACGGCTGTCCAAACCGATCTCGATCAGTCGAGTACATACACTGCATGGTCACAAACCTTCAGGCACTTAAACGTCCACTATTCTTAGGGTGTCCGGCAATTATCATCGGTGATTTTCTGACTTTGATAAGAGCCCAGCTTCATGCTCCAGTAGCGTTTACTTCTGCATCGAATGAAGAAGTGCCTCGGAAGTGTCCGACAGACATTCCGAAAGCAGTATTTGATTGAGTGCAAACGAATTTACCAGCGTGTACGTACTAATAGAAGTACCACGACTGTAAACAGCCGTCTTATATAGACTTGAACCTTTTCAGATTTAATGTAATGTTTATCTGTTGTGTACCAACAGTTGGGTAAAGAACTTTAGACGGGCATGTTATCGACTGCGCTTGTCGCATGCGGAAACGTGAAGGAACTACTTTCGCACACTAGACAGGGCAGTAGTACTTAACGATGTTGGGGCCAGAATAATTCAGTCGGTAAAATGACAGGATACGTCTCTACGCTATCAGGTCCAGACCAGCTCTATGATCCTTCCAGTCTCCTGCCAATAGTGCGCCAAGGGTTCTTTTCTTGGGAGTAAAGCTGCCGATGTGTGAAGCTGGCCACCGGCCTGCACCTACTACCAAGTTTATGAATAGGTGGAGCTCCACCTCCACCTCCACCTCCACTCTACTTCACGTCTCTCCACGCATTTCAGATCTCGGCACTGCGTGGAAGTGAGTAGTCAACTTCACGATGTGACTGCCGAGTCCCGTTACCGTTTGAGTAGGAAAGTCGCAGGCTGTCAACGCCGTTCAAGACGTGGTGATGAAAATATGAATTCCTGCCCTTACCGAGAATCGAACTCTGACCATCCAGCCAGGAACTACACGGACTGAGTCTTTCGTGTAGAAAGGATATTACTGGTTTGCGAATCCACAAGTTAACACTGGATACAAATTTGTAGTACTTCAAATAGAAACAGCGAAACGTAAATTGTCCACCCCTATGGGAAAGTTCCCGAAGTTTGGACATCCTCTTCAGAAGTCAAGTGTCCTATCTTGTCCGCCTCATCACCTATAATACATCATGGGGGCCGAGACAGCTAACCCCTCAGCGAGGGGTGTCTTGGTAATTTAACCCTGTCAACATAAACACAAATCCTTCTTTGTTAAAGTCTCACCAGTCTTTCGGCGGAGAGGCCAGATATTCTGCCCTGGGGCAGACACATCAAACTATAGCTGCGTTATTTTTGTGTGTGCGGGAAGAAAGAAGGTTGGTATTTTACTGCATTTATCAACTACTGAGGTCATGTAGCGTCAAATGAGGCAGGGTAATTATGAATGATCAGCGCTTGGTTCATATTCGGGAGGTCCTGAGTTCAGATCCCGACCCGAAGACCGGATATCCTGACTGAGGGTTTTCGTTGATTTCCTCAGCCTCTCGAGACAAATTCCATAATACCTAAAAGTAGGCCACGGTCGCTTCCTTTCACGTCCTTTTCAATTAATTATTTATTAATCCGACGCTATAGAGCCCAAATTTCTGAGAGCGAGGTTAAATAAACCACAGATAAATAAATGGATAGAAAATCCATTTATGAGAAGACAGTAGAGGAGGTTTCCCTAATATTGTCTGCTTGTTTTAAAACATAAATATAAAAGACGGCATTTGAGAAATGTTAAAAGCTATTAAGCTTATGGTAATAGGTCTGTGTATTAGCCTACAGATTGTAAATTTCATTCTCATAACGTCTCTTCATATAAATTTAACATTAAATGACGGTTTAGCAGTTAAATTTAATTTATGACGTGCTGTGGCGATGTTATTCTGTGTCCTTTAAATCGGCATTACTAATAAATGTCGGTCTACCGCTAATTAAACAGCACAGTATATTTAGTAGGAAAAATAATATGGGAAAATTACAACGCACAATACGCCTAAAACTGTAAGACGGATTCCATCTGTGTGTTATAGTAGCTGCAAATAGAGTGCAGATGTGTCTTCGTTACTGCGACTTTCATTTACAGTGACAGATCAGTCGGACTACAGACCTAATTCAACTTAAGTTAATGCAGCTCCTACGTTTCTATGCACGTAAAATAATTTATTAATAGGAATTGGAAGAAGACTAGTAACTCGTGTTGAAAGAGTTGTATTTGGAAGAAAGAAATTACATTTCTTGGAGTATGTGATGTTTTTGTTTCATATTTCTTCGGTGTTGTTTCTTAGTTATGTTTGAATGCATAACACGTTGCTAGCCAGGAAGTATATCAATTTATTTTTCCCTATAGACTTGTTTGAAAGCTATATATCATCCTAGTAACATCTGTGTAAAGAAAAACAACTTTGACTCTAATTTGTCCAGTTTACAATAAATTGAGGTTTCGGGTTCTCGCAGCAGCTACTATGAAGATGGCTGTCTTCTGGGTTGTTGCGTCATGTATTTTGGTCAAAACAATGATTCACATAAATAATACATTTCGCGCGGTCAGTCATCAGGGTGATTTAGCAAGCTCCTCTGAAACGCTAGTAAACTTCTACCAGAGTACACGGTGCAAGAACCTTGAGCAGTAAATTTTTCGACGGTCGTTAGGACAATAGAAACGTACATTATTGAAGTCTTCGTGATGTTTTAGCACCAGGTTTTGTTGACGGTGAAGGCAGTGACACCACATTGATTGCAACGACCGTGAGGCATATTAGGGAGATACGTAATTTGAATGCTGGCCCAAGACTGTCCTCAAGAAAATTTGTGTGGTTCTTCCTTTAGTATTTTCATAAGTTACACAATGCCCGTTTCCTTCCACATCCAACTCATTAATTATCATAATCTTATAATTTAATGCTAAGCAGTCTCGACACTTGATACAGCGTCGTAAGTGTCTACCTGTTGACACCTGTATAGTGATGGAAATTACAATAGGATACCGTTGAGAACAGTATGAAGCCCGCCTGCCTATGTCGTGAATACCTTTAGGTTGCAAATCATTTGTCAT